TCGGTTTGCGGTTTCAAAAATCACCAAACCGCAAATAGTCGGTCGGTTTGCGGTTTGAGTAAAAATTCGCGGTTACCGAACCGCAACCACCCCTACTCAGCACGACCTCTAAAGTTGTAAAGTTCCAACTGGATAAGACCACTCTCTATCGTCCAACCGGTCACACCAAAACTCAAGTCCCGGGCCCACATATGCATTATTGAGTCCACGTGTCCCAAACGCTGACGCAATTAATATTAGGTCCTAGCATGATACGGCAGCAAACTAATAGCATGAAGAAGAAGAAGAAGAAGAAGAAGAAGAAGAAGATAAAAGAGACGAAACCAGCACATGAAGCACGCCATGATTTTTCAATAAAGCGAGGGCTTGGCTTACGTGGTCCCCACAACATAATAATACTCACCGCTCATGCAACGCCACGTACTTACCCCGTTTCGTCAAACTTGCAATTTCAAGACAATCCGCCCATGCAAATAATTACTTTATTAGTACGTGAAAACGACACTTAGCCATACAGGTGGCGTGAACAGGTGTCACTCCCATGTCCCCCCCGGCAGACTTCTCCGACTCTGTCGCCGGAACATTGGACTCACTGTCGGCATCCAAGAAACCGAATCTTTGAGCTCCTCTTCCTTTCTCTTTGTTAACTTCGTGCAAGCAAAGCTTTTAGCCTTTTCACTTAAATTTTTTATTTCCTCTTATAGTTATTTCTATATATAAATAGAAAATTAAAAAAAATATTTGCTTTACTGTGACACATTTAATTAAAATGTCACTCTTCTTGTGAGTCAGCCAAAATAATAATATTATTCTAAATCGATTAATTATGATTATTGTCTGCATCAGGTTTTGTCTGAGCATTTGTCACGACTTCAATACATGACAAGCTTTTTACTATGAATAAGTAAGAAACTTTTTTATAATATGATAGGACATAATCCTAATTAAGGAGACAATTAATAAAAGACACATCAATAATTGTGTCATTAGAAAAAAAAACAAGGGACATGAAGAACTTGCTTAAGGATACAGTAAGATTACGAAAGTTGCAAAGACTAATTATTAGACCATTTCACATGTATCAACAGCACCAAATCCCAATGCCCGGAAAATTGGAAAATTCTAATTATAGGATGATCGTTTGATCCTGACAACAACAATAATAATAATAATGAATATTTTTTCACATGAATTCATTAACATCCAACATGTCTTGGATGTCAAACTTCAACATGTTGCTACAGTAGCTTTCGCGTTCGTCCTCTGTGCTGCTGTTGAAATTGTGCGTCGTCGAATTTGAATTCAAAGGCGTTGGGCTTGAGGAAGGGGTTGAGAGGACTGAAGTAGTGAAGCTGAAATTCTGGTTGCTGTTGTTGGAGTGAAAATTTGAAGTCTCAGGTGAAGGATGCAAAATAGTTTGGTGGTGATCTGACCCATACTCGTATGCAAAGCTTGGTAATTCAACATACTCATCAGTAAAATTTGAAGGCCCAACATTGCTTTGCTGCCAATCACTGGGTTGAGAGTTTTGTGACCTAAAATCACTTAGGTTTGATGGGTAGTCTCCATTGGCCGGCTGCATGATGAGTTGTGGAGCTTCATTGGAGAATGAGATTTCTTGAATGGGCTGCTGAAGTTGGTTAGATTGGACTTGTTGAAATGGGATTTGGGGATTGTTGCAAAGTTGGTGGAAGTTGTTTGTTTCTTGAGAGTTTTGAAGAAGGAAACTGTTTGAGTTATGGTTGTTTTCTCTTTGAGATTGGATAAGAGAAGTTGCTAGCCTCAGTAGCTCTGGGTTGAGGCCTATGGGTTGGCCAAGCAGCCTTGAGAAGTTCATTTGGTGGTGGTGAGACGAGTTGTAGAGAGATGAGCTCAGAATGGATGAAAAGTCAAGAAGGTCAAGACGAGGGCTGTGGGTGACTGGATCAATTCCCATCCGGAGAAGCCTCTTTCTAATGTGGGTGTTCCAGTAGTTCTTGATTTCGTTGTCGGTTCTTCCGGGCAAACGAGCCGCAATTGCAGACCACCTATATATGAAATAAACCCATTAGCTGTTGAACTATATATTATTAAAGAGACAATTTGAGTTTCTACTACTAATTAATTAAAAAGTTTAGCTTAATTACTTGTTGCCCAATATGCTGTGGAGTTGAATAATTGTCTCCTCCTCTTCAAAAGAAAATCGACCTCGTTTGATATCTGGCCGGAGATAGTTGGTCCATCGGAGACGGCAGCTCTTCCCGCACCTTTGTAGCCCTATTGATCATATACAATTCAAAATTATAAGAGAAAAAGTTAATTTAATGAAAATAAACAAAGCTTCAAGTCTCATAATCCCATAATATATACCTGCATTCTTGGGGAGGGTCCTCCAGTTGCCATAACCATGTTTCTGAATATAATCAAGGAGCTTCTGATCTTCTTCCGGAGTCCATGGACCTTTCTTGAGGCCATTTTTGTCGCAACAAGGTGCTCTTCCCATCCTTCTACTTTGAACGGCTGAGATTAGGATTAGTGCTCCAACACCCACAGGCTTATAAATATATGTATTTAGCTTAGTGGTACTGTTTGTAGCTCATGTATTAATTGATGAGAAATATGGGTCGAAAATTTGGAGGATTTAGACGGAAGAGGGTAGCTAGTAAGAGATAATGGATTAGTTTGTAGGGTCCGTATGGAAGACGTAGATGTATAAATAGGGCATGAAATGGAAGGGTAAGAAAAAAAAAAGGGAGAAGTCAAAAGGATTCGGTGCCGTCCTCTGTTAATCAACATGGCTACGTGTCCCTTTTCCTTTGAGAAACCAACATTGCTATTGTCATCATCAAGATTCAATAAGTTTTCAACTCCAATCCCTCTCTCTCTCTCTCTCTCTCTCTCTCTCTCTCTCTCTACATATATTTTAGATTTGCATAATTTTGTACCTACCCATCATCCATGATCCATGGCCATGCATTGCATGAATTATTTTTTTAATTAGTTTTCTTTTTAATTGATTGATGCACTATATATACAGAAATCAATGTGACAACTTGATATGTTTAATAATACAGATATTTAATTATATATCTATTTTTAGCACTAATAATATAAATAAATTATATACCATTTAATTTCTATAAACAAATCTCAAAAAAACTCAAAAAATGACAATTAGCCTTATTGAATTTAATTTTGATTATTAAATTACTTTAATGTCTTATTGAGTGTTTTTGGTATTTTTATGAGATTTGGGGGTTGAGCTTGTTTTAAAAAACTGATGGCAGTTTTGTAATTTATAAGAAGTTAAAAGCCTCTTTATTATGTTGTAAATGAATTTTGTGTATGTTTCTGAAGTTCATTTAATATATGTTTTTTTTATCATTTGGACCCTTATATTATATATAATAGAGAATCTCCCTTGGTAATATTGATTTTTTTTTTTTTGTATAAGCGATAGTGTAAATTATTTTAAATTAATCGAATTTACATGGAAGATAATTCAAACTTGAATGTAGGGGGCAGTTACTATTCTTACTTGGTTTTTACTTCTTGGGTTATCGTTTTCCGGCGGGATTGGGTTGTGTCACTCCTGGCTTTCTGCATTCATATTAGGGAGGCTTAGCTGTCATCGACATAAGATATTGTAGTATGGGTGCCACGTACGTAACCCCCCCGGGCGTCTTTCCTTTGTGACTTGTGAGCTGACCAGTATTGTGTCCTTACTGGAACTTCACGTTCACGGCGTCGTTTCTTCTTCCCCTGCATTGCATGGCTCAACTCACGCCAATATCACGAGCCCTCTTCATCTTGCTATAAATACATAACTCGGAAATAATTGCTTGCCAACTCAATTATTCTGTTTTTTATTTAAAATAAAACATTTTTTTCAAAGAGAATCTTGACGGAACGAGGAAAACTTTATTGATAAAATAAAAAATTACAACGGGGATGTTGCTTCCGACTGAACAAATCACATAATAAGTCATTCTTAATAAAATCAAAAAACACCTCAAATCAAATAAAATTGTACATGTTATACAGACCGAATCGGAGTACAACACCATTTGCTCCCTTACAAGTAAATTGAAAAAGATAGCCGGGAATCTGCAGTTTCGTGGTGGGAGGTCAAATGATTCAACATTTTTGAGACATCAATTTAACTGTACGGACACTTCCAAAGAGGCAGTCAAAGCTAGCTATGAAAATTTTAGGTTACGTGATGAGACTGAGGAGAAGCATTTAATACAAGATGTGAAGACGGCAATAATGGAGTTCGGTGTTTGCCGAAATACATAGAGGCATTTATTATGCAGATAAAAAAGGCTCCTACAAAATTTTAATATTGCAAAGCGGATGTCACATGTTGCATTATTAGTACGTACACTATTATAAACACACAAATAATTAAGAAATTTACTTGAATTATAATGTAATTAGCATGGTTATCATCTTATAAATAACCAAAAATTCCGTAATTAATCAGAATCAAATTCAAATATATAACATCGTTTTAAGCGCTTGTGTTTTTTTCTTTTGTTAGTTTGATTTTACCAATTAACAGTGTATAAACAAACAAAACCAGTTTGACTTTAACTCTGATTACTGAACTAAACCACGTTCTACTCTCACTCTCACTCTCAAACCCATTTGGAACTTGCTGTCAATCAAAACGTCAACAACTTCACTTCATTGACTTGAAGCGAAACTGATTGAGCAATTATATGCGTAATGGTTTTCTTATACAATTTCCGATTAGACTAAGAATAGTAATTACACTAGTTCAAGAAATCGACTCAAGATTCCTTCATTCTAATTTCAATCTTAACTTAATTAATTAATTAATTATGGTTTGTCTAGTCCCGTCAAACTAACAGTGGCCATTAGTGATGTAATTATATTAATATATTAAAAGAGCTCCAATCAGCAGAAATGCACACTATTTTTTTCAAAGCTTGATTATCTATATCGTGGTTGGCAGTTGGCACCTTATCACTTTATGACTATTTTAAGCAATGGTTTTTATAAGTTGACCCAATCATAGCCATTAATAGCCATGCATGCCACGTACACCGATCATGTGCATGATCTATGATCTACCGTCAAATAATGTTGATTAATATAACTTATAACAATCTATTTTCCTGGAGGAAAACAAAATTGCATTGCAATTTGCATGCATGACGATCACCAGTTTACGAAGCTGTTTTGCTTAGCGCAAAATTGTTGGAGGCTCTGAGTAATTAATCTGATTGATTAGGTGGAATGCAACTTTACATGTTACGTGTCTGAATGCAAGACGTTAGTTCATCGGAAAGAGGGTTGTAGACCGTTGAAAAAGCAAGCACTTGCCTGAACCGGATGGCCTAATTTAAAATTAATTAAATATATTGGACCATCATTAGCCTGCCACTTGAGGAAATCTGACGTCTATTATTTAATCTCCAAGTCTCTTCCCAACAACAAAATAAACAAGGTCCCTCCGATCATGACGTACGAAAGTCTATGCTGTACTTTATTTGTTTCTCTCTCTCCTATTTAATTAATCATTATTATTACCTTAATCAGGGGATTGATCAACGAGTTTATGCGATGAGTTTGAATTTCGTGTGTTAAACTTCCTTAATAGGCCATCTGGTGATCTGGAAGCATTTTGGTCATCCAACCAGGCCAGTAGTTTCAATTAGTACTACGTTAAGTCTAACTTTAAAAACACATTAATTAAAGTACTAATTGAGTTTATAAAACTAAAACAAATGTTTAATTTGGACAGGTGTCCATTAGATGTTTTAGTGTACACTTTTCAGAGGTGCCCATAAATTTAAATATAATATCGTTGTAATAAACGTGATTTCATGTGGACACACTGTTCATGGCGTCATGTCTTATTCACCTTTTTATAAGCATACAAATGGTGTACGGTCAAACATTATTTTAATCATCTACTAAGTTCTTCACCTTGAAAAAAGCTTATAATCTCTAAGCCAATCCCACACCTTGCTTGTGTCCCCTTCTCACCCCCTACCTTTGATTATAAAACCCTCAAGCTAGCCTAGATTTTCATTGGTTTGAACGGCTACATTAATGTAATTCAAGTGATTAAAAGTAGTTCCACTCGAAGTCATATATTAAAGTCATATATTAAAGTCATACCTCCCTCAAAATTATTTGTATCATTAAAAGGAGTCATTAATTTAGAGATAGCACAATATGCATGGGAGTTAAGAGTTTAAAAAAAAAAAAAAAAAAGGAGTTGGGTAGTATATAATTGTATACAAATCGTATAAGAAGAAGAGTATTACTAGCTCTGGTATTTTCATGATTAATATGCGCAACCGTAGGCTAATGTCTCCATGCTTGGTATCAAGGAGGCAACGTCCACTTAAATTAATTAACAAAGTAGCTTAATTATTATACAGAAAAGTGGATTACTGCTTAAAATACAAAATACTGACGATTACGTCTAAAACTAAAAACGGTAATTAATGGTCCAAATCTTAGGGTTTGCTTGTACATACATGTAGCTAAAACACAAATGCATATACGTGTTAGTGTTGACTGAATCCCAAAATACATGTATACCTGGCAGATTTTTTTTAAAATGTCGTACAACAAACGTTGAATAATGATTAACAAGCACGAATTAATTATTTGTTCCATGCAATTTCGTTGACAGAGTTCACATAAATTAGAGTATGCTGAGATACGAGATCCAAAGAGTTGCAGTCACTATTACAACTCATAAGCAAATTTATATAATATTTTTCTACGTTTTTTAAAGATGTATATAATATTTTGTTTTCTTTATTAGTACGTAGTCCATGTTGAATCCACAAGCTTCTAAACTACATATTATCCGTGTGATCAAACCCTAAAGATGATGAGATTTCAAGAACTAGAATTGTACTCAACGTAAGCTTTCTGGGGACACGTAGGGCATGTTGATGGGTTTGATGGAAGCCCCTGGAAATGGTGATAGGATGAGCACCATTCACGAGATCACAACGTGTCATAAGAACAGTGGTTTCAAGCTGAAATGTCAAATGTTTGTACGATCTTCGGGCTCGTTTGGGATGGCTTTTTCATGAAGTACTTCTGCTCATAAGCGCTTCTAATAAAAACGCTTTTATTATAAAAATTTAGAATTTTCATAAAAAATTAAAGTGCTTCGTGAAAAAGCACTTGAGAGTACTTCCTGAAGAAGCACATAGCAGGTGCTTCTCTAAGAATTGCTTCTATGACCTAGAAGCGCTTCTAAACTTTTCTGCCAAATACTGTCAGAAGTGCTTTTAGCCCTTTCAAAAGCACTCCCAAACAAGCAATTTGTTTGACTTTCCCTATTTGGGGGCCAATCATTTCTTGGCATATTGATTTACTTATGGTGGGCTTGAGTTCATCCGAAGGAAAATATTTCTCTAGAAGGGTTTTCATAGAAGTTGCTCAAAACAGAGCCATGAGCGAACTGTTAATTGCTGCGGAATCTACAATAAGGATACATGTTTGAACGACTGACGCTAACTTGCTTCCTATTAAGATGGGAGCTAAGGATGGAACGTGGTTAAGAGAACTCCTATCAATCAGAGCAATTGAGTATAAAAAATTGTAGTTGGTGAAAAAATGCACCACCTGACCCAACCCCTATGGAACAAGTGTCAGAAAGGGT